TTGAATGTTGCGCTAAAGTAGATTTGTTACTTTAGCTTATCTTCGTCGACGAAGATAACTAAATACCCTACTGTAGTGGACAGATCGCCTACCATCATTCCGCACTACAACTTGACTTTCTGTCGAGCTGATTGCAACGATGCAGACTCTGCACTGCATCTCAGAGTATACATACTTGTACGCTTCCGACCCCGCCCCACGCTCGTCAGATCTCAATTGACCTCCGACACCACAAGCCAATAACCGCAGCCGAAGATCCGACCAAGATGACTACGCGAACTCTAGAGATCAGGACGACTGATGCCGAGTTGCAGCATTCGCTGTCCCTCCCGACTGAAGATGGACAGATCATCACAATGGTCCAATTGCAGGCGACAGCGGCCTCGCTGCTTCCCGACAAGGAGTTCTCGCTCTGCTATACGGACTCCGACGGAGACCGCGTGGCCATCACCAACGATGCCGACCTGAAAGAACTCGATAAATTCATGCAGGACGAACAGTTGCAGTGTGTTGATGTGCTGGTCGAGCCACAAGTGCCAGTCACGGCTAAACGCGCTGCCACCGCTGTCAAGACGCAGTTGCGTGGACTCGTCACTGCCATGTCGAAGCTGACAGCCAAGCCCGAGACGACGCCCACGCCCTCGAGCGCGATGGACCTACTGGTAACCAGTCTACAGGCCATGGACGTAGCCGGAAGTGCCGTGGAACTAGAAACAATCAAGAAAGAACTATTGTTGATACTGCAAGACGAGGCCTTCCGTTCGGTAGTTCTAGAGTTTAGTGCCACTGAAGAGTTCAAGGACCTCGTGGATGCGATGGTCGCAGCTATCTACGAAGAAGACGCGCAGTCCATCGAGGACACAGTCACGGCACGATTCGACGAGCTGCTGGTGTTCACTCAACGCGTTGTGGCACGCTGTCCGTCACTCAAACCGGTGATGGTGAGTGTGGCCAAGTCACTGATGACCAGCTTGGTGCGCAACAACGATAACGAGATGGACGGCAACACATCGGACTCGCCCAGCTGCAGCAGCTCCAGTTCCTGCTGCAGCGACGACCAGGAGACGGTGGACATCGAAGTGCTAGCAGAAGAAGTACCGCTACATTCGGGCATCGTCTGTGACGGCTGTGAGAAGTCCCCACTCGTGGGTGTGCGCTACAAGTCGCTTGAGGTGCCCAACTTCGACTTGTGCGAAGAGTGCGAGGCCAGTGGCAACTTCATTCGCTTCGAGCCATTTATCAAGATCACGGATCCGTCACGCACGCCCAAACTGAAACGTACCTCCGAACTCGTGCATCTTTGTGTCACGTGCGACGGGTGCGAGATGAACCCCATCGTTGGTGTCCGCTTCAAGTCCCAGACGAAGGAGAACTTCGACCTGTGTGAGAGCTGCGAAGCCAGTGGCAAGTGGACGGAGTCGCACGGACCGTTCACGAAGATCGAGGAGCCGGCCGTGATGCGCGCTCTCAAGTTTACTTGTCGTCGTGGCGGCAAGTTCGGTCACCACGGGAAATTTGGCCGTCATCACCACGGTCATGGCCACCACGGTCATGACCACCACAGGAAATTCGGGCGTCACTCTGGCAAATTTGGCCATGGAAACCATCATCGTGGACGCGGTAAGTTCGGCCGTCACGGCCACTGCCACGGATCTCCTGACTTTACGTTCCATGGACACCATCCCGATCACCATGGTCCACCAGGTTTCCCTGGTTACGAGTTTCCCGGGCATGGCTTCCCATTCCACCACGAAGGCCACACTGAGTTTGCCAGACACTTCCACGGTCACCATGGCCATAGTTCTGGGTTCGACGATCGTCGTCACCACGGCCACCCCGGGTTCAGTCCTCCAGGCCACTTCGGTCGCTTTGGTCGCTTCGGTCCGCCTCCTTTTGAATCCATGGACCCACGTGAATCGCCGATCTCTCGAGGTTTCGAGCACGGTCGTCCACCTTTCCCCACGGAGTTTGAGCATTGGGGGCACCCCAGTTTCCGCGAACACCGTGGACGTCACGGCCATCACATGCGATTCTCGGACCAAGGCGACGAAAACAAAAAGCACAAAGAAGAAGAAGAAGGAGATCGTCCGTACCACTGGCACCACGGCTGCCATGGACGTGGACGTTGGGGACGTGGCGTAACTAATGAAGCAGCGCAAGAAGCTGCTGCGACTGAGGCCAAACTCTCCACCGATGAAGACAAGATCGACTACAGCGAGGCGCTGAAGCAGCTCGCGTCGATGGGTTTCAACGACATTGAGAAGAATATGTTGGCCCTAGAGTTAGCTCGTGGCAATGTTGGTGGGGCTGTGAATGCTCTATTGTCAGAGTAAAAAGTGTAAGTCGATTTCGAGTACCCAAACCCACAACGTACAAGGTACAAGGTACCGTAATCGAAAAGCAAAAAATCTGCAAAGGGAAAAGCCAAGAAACACAAGTAAAAGCTGTGGCCGCTGCCATACTTTCACGACAGAAAGACAATCCAACAAAACTCAAAATCAAGAAGAAAAAAAAACCGTCTAGCAGCTTCCCCCGGCTTGGATGCATTTACATATTTTCATGCAACTATCATGCTTATAGCAAAGAAATTACATAATAGAAAAGTTCCTTGAGAGGCGAAACCAATACTGTAGTAGTAGTTTTTTTCACTTTCTATTTTTTTTTAAATCAATGTAGTTTTGTTTTGTCCAAGGCAATAAATACACTACTTAAACGACTTTTAACTTTGTCGTAGAAATGCAGTTCGTGAGTGGAAGAATTGTTAAGATATCGCTACCAAATCCAGCTCATGATAAACTGGATTAAGCAATTATGCACAACCTCTTTCTTTTTTTCCTGTAACCTATTCAAATCTAGCAACCGGTTCCACCTGCAATACGGAGGCAGGACGTGCTGTCGAACATCGTCATGAGGTTGGTCATAACGGACCAAATCAGTGAAAATGCCACGACAATGATGGTACCGATGCCAATCCACTTGTTCTTGCCTCCAGTTCGCTTGAGCTCCTGCGTCTCAATCTTCTGCTTGGGTAGCAACACCAGGAACACGAGCGAGAATAGCTTGAAAGCGTAGGCGATCAGATACGTGTACGTGACCTGCGAGCGGACGTACGAATTGTCCAGTCGAATGTACTCCGTTTCAACATCGAAGTGGCCGTCAATGCTCTTGGTGATGACACTAGCGAATGGAGAAGCCAGCGTTGATACGGCGGTAATAAGACCGTACACTGTGGCTTCGTTGCCCTCCTCAATGATCTCCAGTACTGCGAACGTCGCGACGATTGTTCCTATCGCATTCGGGAAATTCTCCACAAGCGGAACCCCAAGCCAGAACCATTGGCTACGGTAGACGTCCCAAATAGTGAAGAAAGTGGGGAAGGCATCGATGATGATCACTGCGATCTGAGAGATGGCGATCATGTATCGCCAATTCCAGTTGAGTCCAAACTGTTTGGTCAGATACAGCGAGCCAGCCGACACGATCAAGCCGATGATAGAAGCCACGCTACTGTTCACTGGAGTCACTGTCAACCAGTAGCTTTGAATGAGATATGACGCCGTCACGGACACGTATGAGAACACGTTACGGCAGAAACGGAAGATGACGATTTGGTACACTACTCGCTGTTGGATGAGTTCGTACAATGCGTAGAGGTATTTCCTAGCCGAGCGTCGGTGGGTCTTCTCTTCGGTGATACAGAACCACGAAAAAGGCATCACAACCAGCGAGAAGGCAGCGCAGACGCCCATGACGGCGTTGAACCCCATGGAACCGGAAAAGGTGCCACCGTAGTCAGCACCGTTGAGTCCGAAACCAACCATCGCTTGCGATATGATCTGGAACGAGTACTGTACAGCGTACACTATGGCTTGCAATGCACCACGAGTTTTTAAAGGCTCGCGTTGAGCGAGTTCCACAAGGATGCCGTCCGAAGCCGTGAAGGCCACAACGCTACCCAAGTTGGCGATGACCATGAGGAAAATGTATTTGACACCCGAGTGCTGCGCGTCAGTGTTGAGCTGTGCCGTTTGCTCAGCTGTAAGAGTCGTCAAGGTTGCCCAACTGGAGTCTGGGTAGTACGGATCACCGATAGGCATGACGGTCATTACAATCAGCGAAACGAAGCACACGGCCCAGCCTAGAAGCATGTACGGTCGACGTCGGAAGCCGAAGATCGGGTAGCAATCGGTCACGATACCGATAAAAACTTTCAGGGTGTAGGGCAGCGTGATCAAAACACTGGCGGACGTGGTCTCATTTCCGGACATTCGAAGGTAGTTGGTCAAGAAAGGGTAGATGACGCTGTACATGGTACCATAGACGACACCCACGGCAGCATACTGCGCCATCAGACCGATGTTGCTCCAGCTGTAAATGTTTGGTGGGCCTCCTGGACGAATGGCACCATCTTCGAGTTCTCGGAGGTCGGGGGTCTTCAGTTCATGGAAGTCGTCGGCCTTGGTTGGCAAACTTGCATTCGACAAACGCTGCACATCAGGGACGTTCATCGTTGGCGGAGAATGGGGAAATGACTACAGATGAGGCAAGCTGCGAGAGCAACGCTGCACGCGACTGCAGGACGACGAAACTCCGCTATGCACCATGCATGCCCTTACTGAAGTTGTAGTGCGTGCACCGCGCCAATCAGAAGTGGAGTGACTGCCGACTAGTCGAAAAAAGGGGCGCTCAAAGACGACGAGTGGTGCTCGATTGCTGGAATAGACCAACGTTACTGCGTCTTTGAACACTTTTACGATACGACTTGCGACTGCGAGAAGGAAATGCTATCGAACCGATACGCACATGTACTGTGAAGACTGACAGGTTGCTGACAGGTTGGAGATCACAAAATGTACGCTGATCAGCGAACGCAATCGCCAATCATCCGTATCGGCACGCGACCCCAACCAATCGGCCTGGGTCACACCGAAAAGAGAGAGCACCAAACGAAGTGAATCGACTGTGTGCCAAGAAGATGGTGAAGCTCACTGTTGCGTTCGTTTTTCAAAATGTCCTCTAGAGTCCCAAAAGGAAATCCCCGCTTCATTTCGAAAGTAGCAGCGACTTCCCCATGAGAGCGCGTACCCCGGTATGTCCATTGGGCTTCAGGAAGCATAGCCATGCCAAAGTTTGTTTGCCCTGTATTTCAGAAAACATATTTTAATATGTCGTCTTTTTCTGAAGCACCGTCGACAACGCACGAGTTTGCATACCGCGTCGAAAGTAAGTGCTTGAGCCACAACAACGATGTAAATGGTTTTAAGCGTGCATTAATTCATTAGTATATCCACACGTTTATGCTTGAAACTGTGCTCCGCACATGCACTAGACACGAGCAGCGGAAGCTGTCCTCGTGCGCTTCCCATGCATGCTACTGAGATCGTGCTCAGTCAATAATCCCTCTAACGAACATCTTCCATGTCGCTACAAAAGCTTAAACTCTTTAATTCGTAGTTTCTGCACACGAACGTCCTTCTTCGTGCCCGAGGAGCAGATTTTGGCTCGTGCCACTACATGCACCATACGCGCACATCTTTCTCCCAGTTTCAAATGCTTGATAATGATGCATGTGTACCCCCCAGCCACGCTGCATAATTGTTGTCACCTGATGCATTTATTGTCGACGCGGTATGCAATGTCGACGGTACCTAAATACCTTTCAGGTTCTTCGCTTTCTTGGCTTCTATAAGCGCTTTTTGCGCAGCTTTCTCAGCCGCCGCGATTATCCTGTTTGTTAACCAGACCGACATTTTTGCCGAGCTTATTGGTCATGTCTGTGATCTCTTCTCCTCTTTCTTCGCCGTCCCTGTCGATTGTCCTGTGAGTTGTTGTATCCCCCGAAGCATTTGTTGATCGTTGATGAACGCGTTGGCAGCACCAGGTTCATGCATGGAGATATACCTGGTAGTGAATGCTAGACAGAGTAGCTGCACGCGAGTATAGACAGAAGCAGGACATGGTAGACACGCATCGTTGTCTGCACTTGACTTCGGGCTAGTTTAGGATTTCCTTTCGGGTTGTTAAGGTTAGGGCTTGTCATGCTCTCTCCTTCTATTGTGTTCTCTCTGGAAATTAATACTGGAAGAACACGGTACTTGTGACTCTATTATCTTATATCATAATGACTGGTTGCGGAAGTTATTTACTGTGTATTAGACTACCAGATACAAACAATAGGATAATACCTTATTGTTTGCACTAATACCAATCTCACTTTTCCTTTTCCCTTTCGTTTCAAACCTTCTCCCACGTGTCCTTCTTCAAGTGCAAGAGTGCCTCTCAACACGGGTAAAACAAATATGCGGAGTAGTGTGGAGTATTCTACCAGACGCATCGACAACATCCCCGCCTACGAGCACCGGCGACACAGCAAAGCACCCCGAGGACCCCATCAACAGCAACACTATATATAATCGGCCGCATCACTGCATAAGCCTCAGGGCACGCCCTCAAGTGAGGAAAGTAGAACGGCGAAATCTGGTGCCTAATAGTGCGCAGGACGTCATAAAGAATTGTGCTCGAGAGGATAAAATATCTTGTGCTGTGTAGTGGTACAGTATCGCAGTTATTATTTTGGGATAGCAGGAATTACCGCAAGTACGCTGCTACCTCAGCCGATAATTGTTCGCTCCACATAGTGTTGCACCCTAAAATATCTTTGATATCCACTTCCGAAATTCGCGAAGAACTTACTTTGTACACCTGCGACGTACTACTAAGTGCAACGTGCGCTTGCTTGGACCCTGTGTTGTTATCCATAGTAATGGTACCCGATAGGTTTTGTTCGAAGGACACGATACTGACACGCTAGATAATCTGCAAGCTAGAATCGCTAAATGAAGAACTTCGTTTAAAAAAAGTACAAATTATTATAATGGACTCAAACTCACCGTAAACGTGGAAACATAGCCGACTAGTTGATACAAGCATACCAGTAGTTAAGCATAATGTCATTTTGCTGAAATTCGTACGTGTCAGCTTCTGTGACATACTTCCTCCGGTTTTTTCTTTTGCACCATCGGCTACATTTCGGCCAATAATCTTTGAACGGTGGCGTCTTATCGGACGCTGATTGGTGCAAAATAAACTTCTACGTCTGCTCGTTTGATATCCATAGCTTTTGGCGCAAAAAGCCATTCCTTGGCAGCCATTGCCGGCCTGCAAAATGCTTCCTCACCGACCATTTTCACTTCTCGATCCGCTGCATCCTCAAAACAAGTCCGACGACCGCGCAAATGCGCCCACCGAATCTAACCCCCACCCAGCGAGAGACTATCGTGTGCTTTCTTCTAGATCGGAGCGATAACGGTGAAATTTCTGGTGGCGATATTTCGGCCGCTGTGGCCAAATATGAACGGCATCGGAGCACCATCTCACGTCTCTGGGAGCTGCACAAGAAGACGCGAACGGAAGAGAATCGTCTTGGCAACTTAGCCAGTGGTCTGATTGGAAATTGCGGCCGTAAGGCCATTGATACTGACGAGCTGCGCCTGCAGATCCGCAAGATCCCTTTGAGCCGCCGCATGACTATCAAGAGTCTGGCGGCAGCATTGGGCGTCTCCACTACAGTCATTCGGCGACTGCTCAAAGAGGGCGCCTTCAGACGCCACTCCAGCAACGTAAAGCCCGCGCTTACGGAAGAGAACCGCCTTGCTCGTGTCCAGTTTGCACTGAGCCACACGACGAGAAAGCGAGGTGGTGAGATGGTATTCGCCGACATGTTCGACGTCGTCCACATAGACGAGAAGCGGTTTAATGAAGACACAGACCGCAAGTGCTACTACCTCGATGCAAACGAGGAAGAGCCCGTTCGCCAGCGTCAGAGTAAGCGCTTCATTTGCAAGACCATGTTCATTGCCGCAGTTGCCCGTCCTCGGTGAGTACCTCTATATATTTATAATAGACTAAAAACTGATCATCTAATTCTCTCTGCAATGTAGATATGACGCGCATCGCAAACAGGCGTTTGACGGGACGATCGGTATTTGGGCGTTCGCTGAAGAGTACGAGGCAAAGAATAAGTAAGAACAGACCCAAAGGGATTATCGTGTTACGCAATGTCGAGAGTGTAGACCGAGAAGCATACAAAGCGACACTCATTGGCGACATCATCCCAGCGATCAAGGCCAAGTGGCCACGGAGCGGCAAGAAGCGCACGATTTACATACAACAGGACAACGCCAAACCTCACGTGTCAGTGGATGATCCGGACATCATGGCTGCAGGTCGCAGTGGGGGCTGGGATATTCGAATGCGCTGCCAACCCCTGAACTCGCCCGATCTTAATGTGCTAGATCTAGGTTACTTCCGCTCAATCCAGTCGCTGCAGTATCAGACGGAGTGTCGCGGAGTGGAAGCGCTACTCGACGCCGTAAACAGCGCCTTCAGCGCCATGAAAGCCGACACTCTGAACAAGATCTTCATGACCCTTCAGACGTGTATGGAATGCATCATCAGGGCAAATGGCGGCAACAACTACAAGACTCCACACCGAGGCAAGGACGCCCTAAAAAAGCCGGCCAGCTACCAGTGTCGTTCGCTTGCTCTGCAGAAGTCTATGATCAAGGCGTGAAGTTCGTCCGTGCAGCTCTGGAGGCGAAGAAGGTTCAAGAGAAGAAGGCAGCCCTTGAGGCCAGAAGCAAGAAGTAGGCCAGTGCTAATACCCGTCTAAATTGATACCTTTACTTTGATCATTTCTGACTCGTGCAAAAGAAAAAAAATCTCGGACCGGATTGGAAATGTGCAAAAGAAAAAAACCGGAGGAAGTAACTATTTGGAAGCAGTCCTACGTCAACTTGGTAGGTGATTTCTTACAACTATACAGATAGAAACAAAGTAATCAGATTTCTTTTGTTGCATTGTTCGAGCAACACTACGACTAGTGCAAACACTCCGGACGGTAAGATGAATAAGTAGTGATAAAAACAATGAAGAGATTATTATTATAATTTGGGATGCAGACGATCACTAAATATTTGTAATAAGATGTGTAGCTCAATGAATATCATTAACCGTTGTTAGAAATGCAGGTGCAGAAGGCTATGATAGTACAATACACGCTATACCTATGGATTACACCGATCGGCTGGAGGTTTGTAGTTTATAGAGACTGCTTCATTATAGATTAAAAACAAAGAAAAAATCAATCAGGGTAACCGATAATCAAAAGGTTTTCAAGAATAAGTATAATCCCGCAAATGCGAAGCGGAGGCGAGAAAGACCTTAGCAAACGCGACAATTATCCTGGGTAACGGCGGCGCTCGGCTGGAACAGATATAGTACTACTATCGCCGGTTTTTTTAGTGCTATAGTAGAAATGATAATGATTTTTCCACTGTTGTCACTACTTTTATCAATATGCTGGATTTACTACCGACTCTGCTCTTGAGAACTCAGTCGGGGTGGCCTAACAGCGCGATATTCATTTATGCTGCGTGCATTATGCACAATTTCCACCAACGCTCACAGGAATTGGTTCACTTGAACCGCGATATTGTGTTTCGTGCATTGGTCCCAGTGTGGTCAAATTTGTAAAAATAAAAACTTTATTTGGACCATATTTTGTGACCAAACACAAACCTCACACTATAAATGCATGTTGAAGTTCTCGTTCGCTCCAAGCTACCTAGAATATATTCTGCTTGGAAGCGCAGCGCGAGTTGATCAGGACGCCCATTAACGATGTCTTGTAAGCATGGCAAGTAGTAAATTGTTAAATGCGAGTGCACAAAACTGCACTAATGGTCACTCACACACCTAACTGTGAGTGATGGTCGAGTATTCGGTAACCATGTCGCTTCATGTTCAACCCACTTTGCAATGCGGCAGTTTTCTTTGCAAAAATCCTTCCAAAAGCCACGACAATCTCTTCGAGGTGGCTCAGTTTCCAATCTTCCAGGTAGCGAGCAAGATTGTCATCATGGCGAGATCAACCTGCCAAATCTGCCTGGACGTTGTTGAAAAAACCCAGTCACTCTCAAACATTTGTGGGAAGAGCTGCAACGCCAAGATTTGCCAACAATGCATGGGTCGTCACGTCGAGGTGACGCTACAGCAATTCTACCCCGGTGTACTACCTCGAATCCGCTGCCCAATCTGTCTCGTCCCAGTGCATGCGAGCTGCTGGGAAGATTGCGTCCCTACTGAGATTAAGTTGTCGTTGACAACCAAGTACGCGGAGCTGTGTCGTCAGGCCTGTGTGGTGACGCCACCGTGCTGCCACAAAACGGACTACACACACCTAACGGTGTTTGATCCAGAACGCACACCCTCGAGCCCAGTCATGTTGCTACCGTCACAACTCGAGAAGTTTAAGGTTATGTGCAAACAGTTCTGCCGCCACAAGCTAGAACCTCGTGCAGTTCTGGACTATGCCTTTGAAACCTTCGGAGAGGAGAAAGCTGCGATCCTCTTAAATGAGTTGACGCTATCCCGTATTCAGGACCCGGAGCGACGTGCCACACTGTTGCTATCTCTGATGTACTTCCGAGCAAATACCAAGACGAATTGCTGCGACCACGACTTCTGCTTCAACTGCAAGCGCCGCGGCCATCACGAGTCCTGCGGGGAAGATTTTGACGAGAAGAACGACCTGGTGCGCTGCCGTACATGCCGCGCTCTGCTACTAAAGGTTGAAGGCTGTGACGCAGTCAACTGTGTCTGTGGATTCAACATGAACTGGTCGCAGGAGAGGAATCTCCGCCGAGACCGAAAAAAACGCATTGTGCCGGTTGATATCTTCGACATTCCTCGGACAAACGATTGGCTCGCCTTTAAACCTCGACTATCCGTGGTAATGGTGAAGATGCGAAGAAAGTGGCTACAGCACCGTGCGCTAGCAATGCGCCCCCTCGTGCACCCGGTCTTCGTCGTTTATGTGTGGCGCTTCCGCCTCCGCAAGGTTCTTGCGACCCAGTTGAATATTGCATGGATAGCAAGGCGTGCCAAATTCGTTGATCAGACTATTGATAAAGTCAGAGACATTCTTCGACCTGCGGTAGCATCGTGCGCTTGGCGCCGGAGATTCAGCAAGGCGTTGGTACACATGGAACGTGAGATGTATTGGAAGGCATACCAGCGCTGGCACTCGGAAGAAGTTGACGCTCAAGCTGAGGAAGTGAACTCTTTCTTGTGCATCGGTGCATTTGATGACGACGAGTAGGCAGATGAAACGTCAAAATTGAGGGGACGTATATATATTAGCTCATGAACAAGTTCGTCATTGTTTACCCTGCCCAAAAGCAACGGATACTTATTTGCTCGTCCGTTTATTGTCAAGTTGTCTTCAAGTGAACTGCGACCAATCAAACCACCCGGAAATGCAAAAAAAAAAAAAGACGCATTCGCAGTTCATCCTATCCAGCCTGTTTGGGTTTCGTATGTTATGTACGGTTTGAGTGTTGAAAACTCCTGATCGCAACCACATCTCTCCAATTGCCGCCAGCACCGCCAGCATGCTCGGAATGCACGCAGTAAAATGTTCTCATTATTCATTTCCCATTATCCTCGCCAAGTTCTCACTTTACCTCGACAATCTTGACAATGACCGGCTGGATGACTGCACTGCAAATAGTGACCACCATCGGACAGGTCATGCTAAGTCTCAGCCTTGGGCCGGATATGTACAAGATCCACCGCCGGAAGAGTATTGGAGAAATACCCGCACTTCCACTTGTCTGCACGTTACCGAACACACACCTTTGGTACGTTCATTTGTTTGCGTCGTTCTTGCAGACAAGGTCTCACACCGGCAATACCTTATCACAGGATGCTGTACGGTTATCTTGAGGGTAGCGTTTTTCCAGTTGGAGTCACGCAGGGCTTCGGTCAGCTTGCATCGATCGTGTTCAACAGCGTCTACTTTCGTTGGACGCCAAAGCATAGACGCAAGGAGTTGCTCAAAGCGTATGCATGGGCACTAGCACTGCATTGTGCTGTAACCCTGTACTTCATACTCGTTGTGACGGGTGTCACCGGACAAACCAATGCTGAAGCAAGCACGTCGCTTGGGTACTTCGGTCTCGTCTTTAGTGTTGGCGTTTTCGCATCTCCCCTCGGCACCCTAAAGCGCGTCATAAAGACCAAGTCGGCCGTCTCCATTCCAGTCAACATGAGTCTCATGATCTTCGTCTCCTCGGTACTTTGGGTGGCAACGGGATTGCTCGACAGCGACTACTTTATCGCTGGCCTGAACGCCGCTGGAGTTTTGTTGGGCGCCGTTCAAATAGTGCTCTATTATATCTATCGACCAGGCCAAGGGGTCGAAGCTCTCCAGGGTCAGCGGTACGGGACAAACGGAGAGCTGCCAGTCGTGTGGTCACCGGCAGACAAAAGCGTTGGCATTGCTTTTTCTGCAGTGAGTCCGGCTTACAAAACCCTGCCTTCACCGATTACATCGTAGAGTGATTAACTACCAGATACTGATGGCTGACTTGATTAACGCTAAGCTGTGGATGTCTACATTATAAGGAAGTATACGCAGAACCAGTATTTGTAGTGGTGACAAATATTAGGTACTTAGTAGTCTCGTAAATGCCATACTGGATCAACGACTTCGGAAATGTTCATAGTACTATTTGGACCCAGTACTTAATTGCTGGAACAGCATGAATTTTGATACATATATTTCGAAAAAAAAATATCGATGCGCTTCGCTATTTTTGAATAATAGGTTAAACGCTGTGTTTGGTTGAGCTTAAACGCTGTGTTGTCTCGGTAAGCTTTTCCCAAAGCTGATATTGTGGTGTCGGAACATAGTAGAGTGGGCTGCTTGGACTCTTAGACATCCACTGATTCTTTGTCTTGTCGAGACGAAACCAAACATGGAGATATTCAGGAGTGATACCAGCATTAAACAAATTCTCCGCAGCGGCGTCAAGGTTTTTCAAGCGTACTTGCTCTTTCGCGAATTTCATGTTCTTCAGGTTCTTCGCTTTCTCGGCTGCTATATATGCTTTGTCTGCGGCTTTTTCCGCTGCCATAAGCGCTTTTTGCTCAGCTTTCTCAGCTGTCGCGATTTTCCTGTTTGTTAACCAGACCGACATTTTATTACCCAGCTTGTTACGCATATCTGCGACTGCTCCCCTCTCTTCGCCGTCCCTGTCGATTGTCCCTTGCGGTGTTGTATCCTCTCGAAGCATTCGTTGACCGTTGATGAACGCGTCAGCAGGATCGGGTGAGTTGATTGGAGATTTGGGGGATCGCAGCCTGGTAGTGGACCCCAAGACCGAGTAGTTGCAGACGAGTATGACGAATACAGCCATGAGCAGAACATGATGAACACGCATCGTTGGTTGCACTTGACCTCGGGCACTCGAGACTGGTCTTCAGCGTGTCCTTAAGGGAGAAACTGCTATGAGGAAGAGTTGCGCAATAGAGGATAAAACAAATCGGAAGCATCACGAAAGCTATGATTACATGATGTAGTTCGTAAGCTATTCGACACAAAATGTAATAAAGCAAAAATGTAAGCACATTTGTTGCAGTGGTGACACACCACCTTCGTATTCATATTTGTAAGTGTTTTTTCCGCTTAAACGACTCTGGCCGAGAGATGAGAGAATCGTAGAGTACGAGAGATAACCGACGCATGCGGAAGTTGACCCACTGCGGTGGCGAGACGGCTCGCGAAACGTACAATACAAAGTGTTTTTTAGACGAGGCTGTCTTCTATTTAATTTTTGATTTGTTTTTTTTTTTATTCAGAGGTTGGAAAATAAAATTATTATTATATTTTCCTTCGTGTTCCGTAGTAAGCATTGTAAGTAGTGTTGTTAAGTTTTAAATCATTTCGATTGGTCTATCGGATTTGCACGAGTTCAAATTGATCTGTTGCATAAGCGATCAAGTCGACTCCAGAAGGCGGCAGTCTGAGTTGGATTCTGGACAAGAATCCAACTCAGACCGCCGCCTGACACTGTCATAATCAATCCTACTCATTACTAAAAACACTAAATATAAGAGGTTAGTTGATCGACGAAGAATTGAAACTGAGTCGAATCGACTGCGATCGAGTCCCAATTCTATGTTTATCCGGATTCGGATGTTGAACTCGATGTTTCCTTCTGGGAAAGAGGGGGGTTCCTCATTTGCATTGCAGAATTTACCTCCTACTCCGGATTATAATGGACGACAGTGAAGTTACCGAAACTGCTTCAGCAAAACAAACGAAACTGTTGTGAGCGTTTTGTCGAGCAGCGTGTGGAGACTGAGTTTAGCAAATGTGAAGGTGACGTTGCTCTAATTGACTGAACTGTGGAGAACGATCTGCCATTTGCGATCGTCCAGCAGCACAAGTCCATTTTCTTCTGCTTTACGCTCGAACCCTCCTATAAGCTGCCATGCCGCCGGACAGTTCGCCGTCGCGTGATAGTTCGTTGGAAATTGGAAAAAGGTCTTACGCGGAAAACAATTCTCCGTTGCCTAATTTTTCGTGATATTCATCAAGACGCAATTTGATTACAACCGACATGTGGACTTCGGCAGCAAACAAGGGCTATATCGTAGTGACATTGCACTGGATTGATGAGGAATGAATTTGCGCTCAGTCATATTTGGATTTAGAAGAGTCGAGTGTCCGTACACTGGCAAACGACTTGCCAATCACGTGTTAGACGTCGCGAGAGCGATCCATGCTTCCTTACTCACGACAATATGGGCTATTACGACGGATAATGCCAAGAACAACGAGTCGATGGTACGCTCCATTCGAGCAAAGCTCCCTAATGCGATTCAACAGCACACTCAAGCTACAATGCCATCATCAGCTGCGGACGTGTCGACTCAATCCCGGCTGGTGATTGAGGAGCTGCACAAGGTGTGTCAGGTTCGCTGCTTAGCCCACGTGTTACAGCTTGCTGTTAAAAGGACTACTACCAAAAGTCGTACTTCGGAAGTAGATGACATATGTTCTAGATGAGTACGAGGCGGAGTATCAAGTTCATTA